CACCACCAAGAAATCCGACATAACAGTGGAAGACATAAAAGCACAGCATGCCTCAATGGTTGATGACTATCTAAGCAGGAATTTCACCATCATCTACACGGATGCTTCCCTAGCGGAAAACAAAACAGGCTGTGGAATCTACATACTGAACACCAATTCTGAGCACACCTTTCATGTTTCATTCAAATCTTCATCGGCCTTTGGGGAACTACTGGCCATAGAGGAAACAATAGACATTGCATCAAAAAACAATTACACCTCTCTGGTAATCTTCACCGACAGCTTAGTCTCCTGCCAAACCCTCAAAGACAAATATTCCAACAACAGTATTGCAGCAAGAATCCATAATAAAATTAATCAGGGTAATTTTTCCAGTGTTCAGGTAAGATGGATTCCCAGCCACAAGAGTCTCCCAGGCAACGAAAGAGCGGATGAGCTTGCCAAAAAAGCCACTGAGCAAAGCAATAATAAGACTGTCAAACTCACAGTTGACGAAGCGTGTAATCAGATTAAAAATCAAATATATGATGAAGTATACAACAATTTTCTTAACCGGCCCAACTCCAACAGCAACCTCTTTGCCACCACCTTTCCTACAAGGAGAGGCACTACCTGGTTCAAAAAACTAAATCTCAGTCCCAAAGACATAAAAATTTTAAACAGGGTTCTCTCAGGACATACCTATGACAAGGCTTACCTTGTCAAAATCAAGGCTATAAACTCGTCTCAATGTCGCTGTGGCCATCAGGACACCTATGAACACCAAACCTTTCACTGTCGCTTTTTATCCAATCACAGAGCCAATCTCGATGTTTTTAAAAATGCACGCAACTTTGAGGAAATCTTTAAGGATTGTGATAAAGCCAGAATCACTGAACTATCGTTATTTTTTCAAAAAGCCTATGTAAAATTTTAATATAGTTACCTTTTATGCAGCATTCGTGTACATATGTTATATGTACGTCTGTTTTTTATTTTACTTATGTTTTTCGTATGTACGTCAAATTTATTGTTTTATGTTTATAAATAACTCGTATCCACCTCACTCATTCCTACTACATCCGCCGCCGAAGTATGTCCTCACTTCGTGCCTAGTCTAATTACGCACAAAACCCATCGGTTTATGCAACTAACAAGCTGCAATCGTTATCCACTTCCTTTGACACATCGCTATCATAAAAGTCAAATTCAGGAGATTTTCGCACCAACAGTAGACGCCACACTGCACAAAACACTACACACTCCCACCAAATCACAAGCGAGGACGTTGCAAGGATACAAATTTTAATGCTGTTCACTGGACAAACTTAACATAAGAGGAACAACCTGGCGTCTGAGGACCAAAGTCTATGCCATCTGATCAAAGCTCAAAAAAAAAAAGCCCTTTCAAGACCATTTCAATTGACACCCATATTTTAGTAGTTCATTTAAATCATTGAGTAGTTTGAATTTAAATTTTCAAACAGTTGGCAACCTTTTTCATTCATTCAAAACCATTTAGATTCATACCAATCTTCTACAACAATATATATTTTGAAAGCCGTTTTTTATGTGTTCGCAAAGCTCGAGAACGGCCGAACCGATTTTTTTGAAATTTCGGATACCTGCTTCAGACGTCCCAAGGATGGTTATAGGCTAAAAATTTTGATATATGAAGGGGCGTGGCACTTCCCATACAAACCGATTTTTTCATACTGCATATCTCTGGAAGTGTTCACGGTAGAATACTGGAACTTGGTACGGCAATATATGAAATCAATCTTATACTCATGGAGAAAAATGGGCTATTTGAAAAGGGGTCATGGCGCCGCAAAAAAGTTTATATATAATTCTTGTGTCTGTGTGTTGGTGAGTGCAATCCTTCTAAATGCCCGGACCAATTTTAACGAAGTTTACTGTGTACTTTTGAGTGGCTCTCTGGAGAGTGTAGTTTCAAAACTTCACCCGCCAGTTGGCGCTGTAGTGAAGTTATTACTAAAAATTTTTTTTATTATCCACTTCAAAATATTTATTGGTAACGGTAAAGGCAATACTATTGCCAAAAAGGGCTGCCAGATAGCGCTGGAGTCATTACGAATAAACGCCAAGTTAGAAAAGGTGCCGTGAATGTCAAATTAAATCGACCTGTTGCGCCATTGAGTATATCGAACTCTTATGTGTTACGATTGGCCCAATGGACGTGATATGCCAGTATTATTATGCGTTAAAGCTTCACTATGAGACACCAGGGTTGAGTTGTGCAGTGGTAAATTTCAAGTCACCACCGATAAATCAACCACCAGAACCATTGCGCGCCTTATACTGTAATATTTAAATTAAAATAATTGAATTTAGTTTTTAAAAATGTGGCAACCCTTGTGAGACGTAAATATTATTCAAAACTCTCAAACCAAAGAATTTTTAACAATATTTCGTTAGACAACCACATTTTAATTCTTCAGATAGGTTGCGCATAACCAATTTAAATTTGACTTTTTAAACAGGTGGCAACCCTTTTAAAAATATATTCAGCCCTCATCCATGAGGGGATAATGATTTTATATATCTCCGTATCAAGTTCCGGTAATATATCAAAAATATTTCCTGAGAAATGCTGTATGAAAAATTCCGTTTGTATGGGTGGTCCCACGCCCCCTTGTCTAATCGAGATTAAATTTATCCTATATTTTAAGTTGGGCTAAATGACAGCAGTATACAAAATTTCATGATGATCGGTTAAGTGGTTAAGGCGTGAAAGCAAAGCAAACAAACAAACTGACTTTCGGATTTATAATATTAGTAAGGATGTTCCTATATACAGTCACTCACAGAAGTACTCGTAATTTAGTTACACAATATTCCAAAAGTTTATCCATCATAAATCTTTTTCGCTAATATTCATTTAAAATATAGCTCATTCTATACCAAAAACCATATAAATGATTCTTGCAAACTGTGTACAAAATTCATAAAAATGAATCAAATTTAAAAAAATTTTCATAAAAATTTCAAACTTTTTATTCAGAATTTTTAGAAAAATCTTCAGTATGCAGTTTTGTAGCCCGTTCAATTTTAGTATAATAAAAAGCAAGTTTCAAGCAGCTAAAAATTACCGCTGATTTTTTAGAATTTTTTTTGTCGAGGGACTAAAAAACTGCACTTTATTTTTATATTATGCTGATAAAAAAAACTTGAAGTTTTTGCGAAGGTTTGTTGAGTTTTACTTAAATATTGCACAAGGTTTGAAACTTGAATTTATACTGTTTTAGTTGCACATTATACTACATATTTAAAAAAAGTAATATAAATTAAATAACAAACAAATAGTTAGTTAAAACTTGCCTATATGTGGTCGGGCTATAATTTGGTAATGGGGTATATATTTGAAATTTTGATCGCAGTCTAAAGGAGAAAAATGATTAAGTAACTAGAGGTAATTAGGAAAAAAAGTTAGCTACTAATCTGTCTTGGATGCGTTTCGCAACGGAAGATGACGATTAGAGTTATCAAGAAGTCTGTCTGCCCCACTTTCGGTTGCAAAGTTGTCATGTTCGTTCGTTTGCTGCTCTCCCAAACGAATATTATGCAGTACTGCGCACGCATTGACGACTTTTCCAGCAAACCCGGGATCGTACAAAAGAACCCTTTTTTGCGAAAGGTATCGCCAAGTTCCTTTGAGGACGCCGAAAAGTCTTTCGATGGGATTCCCAACCTTGCAGAGCGCTTCATTATAGCGAAATTTATGAGACCCCTCCGGTTGGTTTTGTAACGGCGTTATAGGCCACGGCTCTAGGGGGTATCCAGAATCACCTGCAAACGTTTTTTTTAGAGTTACACTTTAACATTTATTAAGCGTTACCTATTAAAAACAAGTTGTGGTTCCCATTCTCGTACGAACGCTGCATCACTCTCCGCACTGCAGAGGAGCTCCAAATATAGGAGTCATCTCGTGCTCCCGGATACTTCGCATTCACGTTTAAAATTTTCAAGTTCGGGTCGCATATCTATTGTAACATATGTAGCAGTGGTAATTATGCAATCATCTTCTTTCATAACAATTTGGTTACCATTTGTACATTTAATGAGTGGTATCCAGGATGGTTGATGTACGCCTCCTCATTTTTCGGAGCCAAAATAGAAATACGGGTACAATCGATCGCCCCAATAGTTCCCCCCACAAAAGGCACTGAGGAAAATACTTCTCTGGCAGCTTAACATTCCATTTGCGTCATAGGGAACTTGACTTCCGTTAAAAACAAGTGGTTGTTAATTGCCTCTGTCTTACGATGAATACAACGGCTTATGGATGACTGGCTCATCGAAATGCCCCACTGCTCTCCTACAGGTCGTTGATAGCACCCAGTGGCATAAAAGCGCAAAGTAGACAGAGCCTTCGAAAATACAAGAGATTATAAAAGGTACATTAAGCTTAAAGATCTAGTGCCTCACCTGCTTTTCGGCGGATATAGCATTTACTCTCGAGCCTTCTATATATACACTTCCAACCGTTGAACCAGATCGGCTGCCAAGTTGGGTCCTAGCCGGTATAATTTCCGGAGCTCTGTTGGTGGCAATTCAAACGGATTGTCCGCACTCTGCAACATACGCCGATCCACCCTCAATGCGTTAAACTGCTGCTGACTACGCGACAAACTATAAGCGAGGTACTCAAATGACATTTTTTCACTTAATTTTTTATTTTTGCGCTTTCGAATTATTTATGTTTTTTGTAACAACACCAAACTAGATGTCAAATTAGCGGCCGTTGTTATCGTTACCGACAATAGCTGATTTTGTGCTAACGAATGTTGTTAAGGAAACGTTTAATGAATAGCTATATTGTCGTTTAGTTGCTTTAACAATAAAAAGTGTTGTTAAAATAGCGTAGTGAATCGCACTACAGGTATACAATTTTGTGGACCTTGGTATCACAATGGATACTAAGCTTAATTTTAATCTTCATATTAATGGACAGTCAACAAGGCTAAAGGTGTACTTGCATTTGTGAAACGATGGTCAAAAGAATTTTTACCCTTATATCACTAAAACCCTGTTTACAACATTAGTTAGGCCAATTCTGGAATACGGTTCGGTGGTTTGGGATCCAAGGTATCAAATTTACTCAGACAAGATAGAACCAATTCAAAAACAATTCCTACTTTTTGCTTTAAGAAATTTCCGTTGGGATTCTCAATATAACCTTCCACCTTATACGAGCCGATTAAAACTTATTAATCTTGCTACACTTTCCAGCCGCAGGCAAATGCTTGGTACAATTTTTATAGTTAAATTACTAACAGGCTCAATTTCAAGTCCGCTTCTTCTTGGCGAAGTTAGCCTTAATGTTCCCTTCCGGGTATCAAGACACTTTTGGCCCCCTATTTCTGAAAGCTTGTAAAAGTAATTTTGTATTGCACGACCCACTCCGTTGCTTATGCCAGGATTTTAACTCTCATTTCGGCACGTTTGATATATCAGATCCGCTTTTCAGCAATAAAAAAACGATACTGTTTTCTCTCAACAAATTAATCATTAAAATAAAGACATAAAATCGGCTGATGAATTTAGTACTGTAGCTGAACAGTTTTAGATCTCGACACTTAACAAACTCCTGCCTATCGTGACTTGGCGCAAAAATTGAAAATACTGGTTCCGTACGTCATGCGGACTGCGCCCCCCTTGCGGATGAGCGGGAATGGAGGGTAGAACCCGTTGGGATTATTATTATTATTATTAAGTCCGTTGCAGTTGAATTCAAGGAGCTTCGTGTAGTTCCGGAGACGTGTTGTTATGGGGGTGAGGGATGTGTGTTGCCTAACCGCCATAGACTTTGTGCGCTGCTTTGGGAGGTGCCGCGCTGTGGTGGTAGTGGGTGGCGTCACGATGAAGCGGCTTTTAAAGTTTTCGAGAGAAATATTGTGCGAAAGATTTACGGGCCTTAACGCGTTGGCGAATGCCGCAGACGATTTAACAATGAGCTATATGAGCTTTACAACGACATAGGCATAGTGCAGCGAATTAAAATTCAGCCGCTCCGCTGGCTTGGACGTATCATTCGAGTGGACAGAGACGCTCCTGCTCTGAAAGTATTCAACACGGGCCGCGGTGCTGCGTTCGAAAGACCAAGTGGAGAAGGACTTGGCATCTCCATTTGGTGTCAGATGGCGAAATCAATTAGGGGTTACAGCGCCAATAAAGAAGAATAAGAATATTGTGGAAAATAATCAACAGACGTTCCCGTGTCAGAACCCAGTCTAACTGAATGAAAACAACCGATTATTCGGTTATTTGATTAATCGTGCCATCATTAAGTTTTACACAAGACATCTCGTCCGCAGGATGGCCCATAGTAGTAAAAATTTAATTGTTTAATAGTAAGCATATACATACGTATATATGTATTGGGCATAAAAATCATTCTACCAATTATTGAGAAAATCGAATCCTCTCTGTAAATTTAGATCATTCTCCAAAAGTCGTATATCTTCACACAACGTTTTGTCGTCATCATACTCGTACTTATTGTGATCCTCTTCAGATGCAGTTGACGAGTTTGACGAAGCAGTCAGAATTCCACTGTTACTACAATTGCGCATAAGAAGTGCTGACTCGCCTATTTCGAAATAAGCATCTGTGTACACAGCATAAGACATGTTTTGATGTTTTGGTGCACTGGCAAGTAAGCATGTAACATTCGCCGTGTCGTTATCAGTCGTGAACATCCTCTCACTTCCACAGCGACTTACTTTCGGCAAGAAAGTGACCTGGTTCTCATTGACAGGCTGTGCTTTCGATACTTGCTGTGATATAGATGTCGAGTGTTTATTAGCATCGGAATTATTAGCTGGACCATTATCTTTACAACCATAAAGACGCTTATATATAATGTTATTAACGCTGGTGATGTTGATGGAGTTCTCGTTCGGTGGCTTCCCTAATTGACTATTCAATTTATTTTTTAGCTCCTGTTGCAACTGTTCATAATTCTTTGTGACATCCCTGTTTTTAGTAGTGTTTTCGTTGCTAGGACTGTTTGGAAGTAGACATATTTCATCACTAGCAGTTTTAAGTGTAATATCACCTAAATTGGCTTGTTTATACTGTTGTTGCAGATCAATTTGTGAATTTGTACGGTAACTGAAAGGCCGAGAATGTTCGTCGCGGTAAGCACCCAAAACATCGTCATAAACAATTTTGAGGGCAACTTTCTGTACGGCATAAGTATAAAGATTTCGTCCATCGAAAGCATAAGATTTCACCTCATTTTTTGATGACGTATGTTTAATGTGGGACTTTTTTGGTATTACCAAACCTGATTTAGCTTCAGTTTGTTTTACTGGTGTTTTTGCGAAACACATAGGCGGTGGTGGCGGTGGAGACGATGGCGCTTTTAGTTTCCCATGAAGCTGCGCTAAAGTTGTATCCTGAGAACGCGCAGTTAGGGTACCCGAAATCAAACTTTGCGTCTGTTTTAGAAAAGAATCTGTCAAGGAATTTGTTGAAGCACCACTAATTGAAATTTTACAACTTTTATGTTCTTTGTTTTTTGGCGAACTTTGTAGTATATGTTCGCCTCTAGAACCACTTCGAGCGCTGGAAGACGAGCTGGAGGAAGATGAAGTTGAGTTTGATGACAGCGAAGCTAAAGATGATGAAAAGTTCTCAAAATATTTCAAAGATATTTCCGGTTTGATTAGAGTTTCATTCAAAATGTCATTTTGTTCGCTCGGCTTCAGTGTGTACCATAGCTGACCATAAGTTGATTGCGTTGTCTTTATATCAGATGCAATGCGTTGAGCCAACGGATTTAAATGAGCAAAGTAGTCTTGCGTCATTTGGATATTAAAAGTCCTGTGTTGAAAGGCAGTCATTATTGCTCTGTGTTGTATTAAAGACTCCCGCACTCTTCCGTAGACACTGAATCTAGATAAGAGGAAATATTGTTAAAACTCATCAACAGCTTTGTGATTAAAAATTAAATGGCAGTAAAGACTAAAAAACTACCATTCCCACGACAGCCGGTTCTACGTACCGGAATGACTCGGTTTTCACGCGATCAAGGGCTGTTGTTTCGGCGACCTAACCCCGTTTAGATCGGCGATACCCTTCAATCATTTCACGTCCATGGAGAAATGCCTTGCAGCCGGATCGCTCCGCATCCTTCTTCTCCGGGCGGGCGTTGAGCCCAACCCGGACCAGAAGCATACTTCTGCTGCGTTTACCAGAGTCCACTCCATCCGAACTCCACTTCGGTTAGGTGCAATTCATGCAACGGATGGAGTCACCTAAGAACCTGTTCTGGCCTTAGGTCTTACCGGGAGTGGACCACAAGCTTTGTCGCCCCCCTGTAGCTCAAGCCAAACGGCACCACTAGCCTCCACGGTTATCCGCTTGCGCAACGCGCAGGTGCAAACCAGCACAGCTCCCCTGAGCAACAGCAAACTTCCCCACCCCCTCAACGTGTATATACGGCCTATCACCCTGACATAGGTGCGCTACCCAGGGGTGAACACCGAATGGTAGTAGATGACTTCAACGCGCCCCACGATCTTTGGTACTCAAGCCTGGCTAATGATCGTAGGGGAAACCTATTGGCTTAGCAGATAAGACGATTCGATATTCTGTGCCGTGAATGAAAGCGCCCCACCAGGATTGTGGGCAGCTGCAGCAACTCGCCGTACCTAACTATTGCTAGCGCTGGTCTGATAAATAGCATATCATGACGACCTATGCTAACGCTAGCATCAGACTATCTGCCCATAATCATCTCGAACAATAAGCCCACCGACTTTGCACCCGCGGACCACTGAACCTACACCAAGTTTAACAAAGCTGATTGGAACGGCTTCGCGGAAGTTACAGAGAGCAGCTTCGCCGCCCTTCCCACACACCCAGACGTACATGCTGGCGAACGTCAGTTCCGCAGGGTAGTCACTGCCGCAGCGGCTCGCTTCATAACATCCGGACGCATCGCAGATGCCCGCCCAAACTCCCCGGCTGAAGCAGCCCTACTAGCAAATGGGCGTGAGCACCTTCGCCAGGTCGATCCCGGGGATCCTCGCTTGAAGGACCTTAATTCGGAGATTCGGCAACTGGTAAATCAGCACAAGCGGAAAAAGTGGGAAGTGCACTTGAGATCCCGTAAATTCGCCTCTGGTGTGAGTAAGCTCTGGTCAACCGTGAGGCCAAACGTCCAGTGACCAGGAGGCTGCACAAACTGCCTAAAACCTCCAAAGCCATTGGACCCGACGGAATCTGTATGCTGATGCTGAAACATTTGGGGCCCGCGGGCCGTGTTGCGTTGCTCGGTCACAAATCCCAATTGCGATGCCACCCACTACCACCACAGGGCGGCAACCTCCACAGCAGCGCACAAAGCCTATGGTGGTTAGGCAACACACATCCCTCACCCCCATAACAACACGTCTCCCGAACCACACGAAGCTCCTTCAATTCAACTGCAACGGACTTCAGAGTAAGATCGAGGAGATAACCGTCTTCATGGGAAGGCATGGTATATTGATAGCTGCGGTCCAAGAGACGAAGTTGCCGGATACAACGTGCACCGTCGAGGCAGCGAGCGAGATAATGGTGGTGGCTCAGCATTCATCACGCACCACACTGTGAAGTATCGTTTTATTGAAGCAGACATCGACCGCAGGGATACCACCCTAGAATGTCAGTGCATTGGTTGTCAGGCGATGTATATACCCCCTGTCGCTTGCTGCCCGGCAGCATATCACCCTGATATAGGTGCGCTAAGTGAACGTAAGTTCCGCAGGATTATCACTGCTGCTGCAGCTCGCTTCGTACCAGCAGGTGGCATAACGGACCCCCGTCCAAACTTTCCTGCTGAAGCGGCTGTTCTAGCTGATGAGCGTGACAACCTTCATCAGGCCGATCCCGGAAATCCCCGTATCAGGGATCTCAACACGGAGATTCGGCAGCTTGTGAACGTACATAAGCGGAAAAAG